CCGCTGACTGCTCGTTGCTCATGTCACTCTCGTGTGCTGCCATTGTTGCATGCTATCAGCCCCTCCGTGGCACCCCGGACCGAGGTATGAAGCCGCATCAATGTCGGCATGGCTAGCACGGTACCCACCCCCATCCGAGTCCACGTAGCTCAAGTGCAAGTGCACACTGCTCCACCGACCACCTCCAACGCATCACATCGGCTGCCGCCCTCTTCTATGGGACCAGACGGGTGCCCAACACACAGGACTTGCTGATGGCAATTTCCATGGAACGCGCGAGGGAGCTGCGTTGCCCGCATAACCTGCTCCATTCCTCCCTCTACCTCCAGCTACGACGCCCCTCAGCCATGACTCACCGGCGACAATTTGGAGTCTCCGGCGACATTGAATGGAAGTAGAGCCCATCGAAATGGTGGACCTGGGAGTCTGGAAGTAGGAGGGATGACGATATATCCGCATGGCTTCAAAGCCAAGTTCGCGCAAAATCAAAAAGGGGCGAACGATTGCTCCAAGCTGAGCCAGCAATCATTGTGTGTGCAGAGATTTGTGCAAAAAAGATCCGACGGCTGCCACCGCGTCGCGCGGGAGTCGTCGGGCAGTTGCACTTGCACATTAGCATTTGGGTAAAAAAAAATTCGAGAGTACGTACAAGGCGCCTATAATCCAGCGGCGAGCGCGATTCGAGCGATCATTTGTAAAAGAGTATAACTGCACAAGATTTTCTTCCATCTATCGCGCGCTGTTGGCGCACCAAATGTCCAAATGCTCAATATATACTGGATCTCAGTCCCGGCGACCCAAACCGGATATGGCATCCACACCGTCAAGCAACCCGGCGGCCAAGGTGCCGAGAAGCCATCGCCGGCGCCGAGCTAAGCGCGCCCGCGTCGGTGACGGATCACCCTCCGCGGCGGAGTCGACGGTGCACGTCCCCGCCGACCAATCTTCTACTCCCTCCGTAATTCCGAACGGAGGGAGTAGCTGGTAAGATTGCATTCTTGATTCAAAAGCTACTCGTCTGCACATCATCTGGCTCGATGCTTCATCCATTTTCTGGCCGCATGCAGGCGGGACTGGGCGAGCCTGGGGTCGGGGCCGGCGTGGCTGATCGCGGACCGCGTGCTCGCCCGCGACGTCGCCGACTACGTCCGCTTCCGCGCGTCCTGCAGCGCGTGGCGGCGGTGCACGGCGGACCCGCAGGGCGACGCCCTCGACCCGCGGCGCTGGACCATGCTCCAGGACGTCGTCACCCGCGGCCTTCGCTACCGGTACAGCCGCTTCAAGAACGACGCCACCGGCGAGCACATCCGGATGACGATCCGGGGGCTGAACGGCCGCGACGGCCGCACGCACCTCGCGCGCACGTCCCAGGGCCTCCCCGTCCTGCTCAACAAGAAGACCGACGCCGTGTTCGTGGTGAACCCGGTCACCGGCGCCCGCGCCGACCTGCCGCCGGTGACCACGCTGCTGTCCGGCTACCGCAGGAGCGTCGTCTTCCCGAGATGGCCCAGGGAGCTCCGCCTCGGCGCGCAGCTGAGCGACGACTCGGCGGTGGTGATCAACTTCGGCGGGCGCCGGCTGCTGGGCGTCGCGAGGCCCGGCGACGGGCAGTGGGCCAAGGCGGAGTGCGAGCACCGGACCCGCGGGCCAGTCTCGTCGTTCGCAGGCCGCGTGTACTGCGTCGTGGGGAGAACTGCCATGGTGGTGGAGACCTCGCCGGACCACCCGCCGAGGCTGGCCGAGGCTCCTCATAATCCTTTCGGTTCAGTGCCGTGACCGAGATGGGTTCCCTTCTGACTTTCATCAAGATCTTTGGGATCTGGTTAAGTGGGATCTGAAAGCCTTGGTTGATGGGTTTGCTAAAGGGGAAATTAATATTGCTAGGCTTAATTATGGCATCATTATCCTGATCCTTAAAATCAATGATGCCAAACAAATACAAAAATTTAGACCTATTTGCCTATTGAGGGCTTGTTTGGGACTGCTCCGCTTCATCAAAATCAGTTTCGCTCCACTAAATTCACTTTGAAGCAGTTTTATCTAGAAGTTGTAGCGCTACCAAAGAGAATGTTTGGCTTCCATCTAGCTCCAGCTTCAAGAATGAGAAATTTGGTGGAAAGGATCTATTTGATTAGTCGAGGGGGGAGAAACGAAGGGGTATCCACTTACTGGTGGCAGTGGTGGATAATTTCCGTCCAACTCCAGGTTCTAGAGTTTTTTGGAGCACCCCCTGAAGAGCTTCATAAAAAACTGGGAGTTGTGCCCTAGATTCTAGTTTTTTTGTGGAGTGGCATATCGTGGAGCTATCTGGTTTGGCTTGTGTTTTCTAGAGCGGAGTTGAATTTTAAGGAGCAGAGCGGTCCCAAACAGGTTCTGAATGTGAGTTTCAAGATTATTACAAAAGTTTTAATGAACAGACTGACCAAGTGTGTTTCCCCTGTTATCTCCAGAACGCAAACTGCATTTATCAAAGGGAGATACATTATGGAAGGAGTAGTGATACTGCATGAAGCTCTGAATACATTTCATAAAGACAAAGAAGATGCTCTGATTTTAAAATTGATTTTGAAAAGGCATATGATAAAATTAAATGGCACTTTGTTATACAAATGTTAAAACTAAAAGGTTTTTTAGATATGGTGTGATTGGGTAATGGAAACTATGAGAGGGAGACATGTTGGAATTAAGGTGAATGATGAAATTGGCCCTTATTTAAAAATCTATAAAAGATAGGGAGATGCTATGTCACCACTACTTTTCGATGTGGCTGCTGATGCTTTAGCTATTTTAATGAATAATGCCCTAGAACTTGATATTGTTAAGGGAGTCCTTAGTTATAATGATAATAAAGGAGTAAATATGCTGCAATATGCTGATGACACTATATTTCTGATAAAAGATGATTTGGAAAGTGTGAGAAACCTTAAATTCATACTAGGTGCCTTTGAACAAATGTCATGTCTTAAAATAAACTTTCATAAGAGTGAACTGATGCTGTTTGGGAAAGCTAAAGAAAAACAATTGCTATACCAGGAAATACTGACATGCAAAATGGGGGATTTGCCCATTAAATACCTGGGTATGCCTGTGTCAGAGACTAGGATTAGGAACACACACTGGAGTTGTGTGACTAATAAAATTGAAAAAAGATGTGGATGTTGGCAGGGGAAACTGCTAGGATCTATTGCTGGCAGGATCACCCTGGTGCAAGCCTGCCTGACTAATATCCCTTTGTTTATGATGTCCTTCTATGTTGTTCCAAAAGGAATCATTAAGAAAGCTGATTTCTTTAGGGCAAGATTGGTTTGGCAAGAAGATGAGAATGTTAGAAAATATCATTTAGTCAAATGGAGAGAATGATGTCTACCCAGAGAGGTGGGGGGCCTAGGGATTCTTAATCTGGAGGTGATGAACATAGCTTTGTTGGCTAAATGGTTCTGGAAAATGAAGACAGAAGAGGGGATTTGGCAAGATGTTCTAAAAGGAAAATATAGAAAAAAAAGACTGTCTAGCTCTAATAGAGAAGAAACCTGGTGACTCCCAGTTTTGGACTAGTTTATTGAAGATCAAAGAGATCTTCTATAAATTTGTTAAGAAAGAACTTGGAGATGGGAAAAACACTAGATTCTAGGAAGATACTTGGGTGGATGATAACCCTTTAAAAGATGCCTATCCTAGAATTTATGATATTTGTTTTGATCACAAGATTACTGTGGATGAGGCCATCCAAAAAGAGTGGAAAAGGTTCAAATTTAGGAGGACTTTATATGGGGAAACTTTGGAATTGTGGAATTCTCTTAAAAGTAGATGTGAAAGAATAAAAATGAAGGGAGGGGAAGATAAGATTACCTGGACTCTCACTGCTGATAATAAATTTTCTGTGAGATCTTTATACAAGAAAATGATTACAATAGGGATGAAATTTCCACAAAAATACCTGTAGAAAATCAAAGTTCTTGCAAAAATAAAAGTCTTCCTGTGGTTAGTAAATAAGAGGAGTATTTTGACTAGGGATGTCTTACTAAAAAAAGGATGGAAGGGGGGAAAGGGTTGTGTGTTCTGTGGACATGATGAATCAATTGATCATCTGTTGTTCACCTGCCCTGCGGCATCTTTGCTGTGGAGCTTGGTCAAATGCGTATGTGGTCTGAAGACCATTCCTTTAAATGTAAAAGATTGTTTTGGGGGGTGGATAAGCAAATTTAATAAAGAAGATAAGAGAATAGTGATGGTTGGGGTTTCTGCCTTATTCTGGGCAATTTGGAAAAGTAGAAATGCAATTATATTTGAGAATAAAAGGATAAATGATTCTTTTTTATATAATCAAATTAATGAGTCGATGGTTGGTTGATTGGTCCATCTTACAGATAAAGGAGCCATCAAGAAAATGTTGGAGCTGGGAGCAAGAATACTAGAGCGGGCAACAAATGAGGTGTATACAGCAGGGCAAGGGTGGCGGATCAACGTGGCGAGGCTCCCTGGATGAAGCGGCTGTGACATCTACGCTGCTGCTGCTGCAGTTCTCGGTCTTCTTGTTTCTTCTAGTTGATAGCTGTTATTTTGCTGTCGCTTTAGTGGTTTGTGTAAAACTTATTTGCTCTGGGCCTTGTTGTCCTCGGAGTTCTGAGATATTGCGGCCTGTGTTGGCCTTTTGGTAGGTTTGTCGTGCTGCTGGACCTGTTTAGTTCTGTAGTGTCATATACTTTGTTACTCCTAAGTTGGTTTTCATTAATGAAAATCGGAAGGGGGACAAGCCCTTTTTTGATAAAAAAAAGTGCCGTGACCGAGGCCTAGCCTAGTTGCACACTTGAGCACAAACTTTATTTTTTCGAGAGTACACCACTGGCATACAAGTATCAGCAGTTCAGCGCAATCTTGGAACTTGGGAGAGTTCGTGCTATATGAATGTTCTGAATAAAGTTCTTCTTCCTTCCTACACTGTTACACTACATATGTTCTGCTCTTGGCACATCAGGATGGATGCGGTGGTGGAGGTTCACTTACAAATGGGGCATGACCGACTCCTCGTGCTCGGGCCGGTGGAGGTTGTGGAGGATGTAGAGGGAGGCCGAGGAGAGGAAGATGCAGACCGAGTAGCTGAGCAGGTCCAGCCCCGTGGTGATCTTCACCATTTTGCTCCGCTCGAACATCTTCACCAGCAGGATCATCACGATGACGTGCCCCACCTTCGTCTTGAGCTCGTCCAGCGACGTGATCTTCATCCACTTCGGCCTCTCCTGCAAAAACAGCAGCACGAGAGGAACAATGTTCAGGTTTCTGAATCAAGCATCTCAACTTGTAACCAAACTTGTTAAAGAATGCTTTGATTGTGATCGGTATCACCTTCAGAGCGAACATCCCAAACAGCGACGATCCCTGCAGAGCCCGGTCGGATCCGGAGGGCAGATCGTTGGACGCGTTGCTGATGAACAGCCCGTAGAGACCCATCCCGAAGATGAGCATCACAGTGCCAGCAAGATACACATCTGCAACAGTAGCAGTTGGTGTAAATCCCAGTTGTTATGAGCATCAGTTCAGTTCGGTACCGGAATATCTCGCTCACCAATGGCCTCCACGACCTTGAGGACCATCTGCCCTGTATGGACACCTTTGGCGCAGCTCGTCCAGTAGACGCAGTACGCCTCTTTGATGTACACGCAGCCCTGATCACCAACAGATACGAGATGCTTAATTAGATCCATCTGAACGATGTTGCTCACTGATAACAAGCAACAAGTACTGTAATTATGTCTGGTTATCTGAATCGTGAGGAGCTGCAGAGATGAGACTCAGAAAAGTTACATTGAGGAAGCAGAGGAGGGAGCCCGCCAGCGACCCGGCGACGGCGAGGAGAGCCAGGAACCGGAAGTCGAAGATGATCTGCGTCAAGAACAGTATTAGCCCACGCCGCCGGGGAGCACAAACGATAAGCTAAAGGATCGATGCGCCTGCTTACCCTCTCGACGGTGGTCTCGATGGTCGTCGACCTGGCGGTGCCGGAAACAGCGGCGCCGTTGGTCCCGCCGTAGTCGCGCGCCTTGTGTCCCTCCGAGCCACGCAGCACCGAGTCCACCGCGGCGGTCGCGCCGTCGCCGCCGGACGGCGAGGCCGCGGCGGCCGAGGCGACGATGGCACGGAACCGGGACGGCCGGTAACCAATCCGGCTCGTCGTCTCCGCTGGCCGGAACGCCGGGCCGGCGGCGTTGACGGGGGCGAGGCAGCCGCGCAGCAGCAGGAGCGCCATGACCCACGCCGCGGGTAGGCCCGTTGCTCGCCGGGCAATGCGGAGCGAGGCGAGCGGCTGGCTGGGCGGGACTGTGTGGCTGGCTGGCCCGGTTGTTTTTGAGTGGAGTGGAGTGAACCGAGTGTGAGGAGAAGAGAGGTTTATCGAGGGCATGAACGACGACGGCGACGTCGCTGTCGGCGATGTGGTTTGTAGCACATGGCGGCGAGCAGTTTGTGGCGCGGAGGTTTGTTGCTTCCCGGGCCAGCATTGATCTCACGGGCTGACATAAAAAAAATCGAGGGTTAAAAACTGAGTTTGCTCAACTGGAAGAGTAGGTCAACATGGTACTACTGAACTTATCATCCCTTGACTTATAGAAATGGTCCATCAACTCAAAAAAACAAAATTCTTTAGCTTTTAAAACCGGATAACTCAAAAACTAGATTGACATGTAGGCTCTACTATGAAATTTTCCAATTCCGGTGATGCAGTTCCCCTGCCATTGCACTTCAAAAAAGGATAACCAGAGCTGATCTGCAACGAACCTTTAACAAATTGGCTTCGAGGTTGCAGCAGTGGAATAGGGATTTGCTTCCTAGCAACGCTCGCCTTCGGCTTGTTAACTCATTCTCTATGCTATTCCCTCATACCTCATCTCGAGGTGTCTTTTTTTTAAAGAGAGAGAGAGAGAGAGAGAGCTCCCTCTCCAATTTTCATATATCAGAAACCACATTGTCTTTCCTAAACAAACCACCAGCAACCTCAACCTCATCTCCATGCTCAGGCTGGACATTTGGACCATCAAAAAAGTCGACAAGTTAAGCCGCAGTTTCTTATGGAGATCTAAGCCGGGTGCTTCTGGAGGGCATGGCCTTAGTAAATTGGGCAATTGCCTGCCGTC